TCCGGGGAGCACAGAAACAAGTCAAGTACGGTGAGTGACCTATCTCATGAAGTGTTAGCTGAAATTCTGAAATGCATTTTCGATTGAAAAGGGCTGCTTGAGGGGGGGGGGGGTTGTAGTGCCGATTATCGTGTAGCGTAGTCCCAGGCTATTTCAGTCACGCCAAGATGCCGGCTATAGAATTAGCTTCTTTCCCGCAGCTCGACAAGGACGACTAATCAAGTAGCGTGATTTTTCCATTGATTTTCGATGTCCTTGTAAACTCAACTACAGTTTGTAAAAAAGCATGCAAAAAAATGTCCTTGCCTGAACTCATTCGGTAGAAAATCATATTTTGAACAAATTTTATATTTAAGGAAATGGTAAACTTCGGTTTCGATGAAGTTTTTCTGGACTCGATCTGCTGCTGTATTTGCATTTAGTGTTTACAAACTCAATGTTACATAAATTTCGTGCACGGAAAATCATATATAGGGCTCAGGAACTGTGCTCGTATACTTCATAAGCGTCCCTAAAACGGACCACGCGGTAGGTGTACTGGACCAGCACGGGGGTTAGGTCGGCTTCTGACAGACGTTATCGGGAACGCACACCCATAACAAATGCTGGCATTCCGGGTACGGAGGCAGGCTCGGTTGCAGGCGCATGCAGCGTCAATTGGGATCCCTGCCGTTATTCACTTTTGTCGTTGTTGAAAATCCTGGTCGAATGTTTACTGTGGACCGGAGGATGTGGTGGTACGCCTAGATGCGGGTTTACGTAGTGCGTGACCGATCTCATGAAATGTTGACTGAAATTCTGAAATGAGTTTCCGATTAGGAAGGATTACTTAGGTTTTGAAAATGTTTCCCAATTCGCGAATACTTTTGAGCCGGGTCAACCGTTGCATTAGCGTTTAGCGATTCCAGTCTGCAAGGTACATGCCATCCGCGTAAGGAAAATCATACATTTCTATCTGTCTTTAAGAAGATACCATGTGTAGTTCACTTAAATTTTGAAATGGATGCTGATTATGTTGTACGTTTCATGAGGGACACCGGTAAACAGGCATGTGCGAAGCTGTATGTATGGACATCGCAAGGTCTTAAAAGTTTTATAACTAGAAACTTTTTTAAAACCAAAGGTACCATTTCTTCGAGTATAAAACGTAAAGATAAGGTGACTTCCTACCAAAAGAATAAAAGAAAGCATATTTTGCGCATGTTTTCTAAAAAATATATTTGAATTTATAGGACCATCGAAAATCAATGTGCAAAATGCATGCCTCTTAAGTAGTCATTCTTACCGAGTGTGGTTTCTGCAGAAGGCCAAAAAGAAGTGCATTTAAAAGCCGACATCGTGGCGAGTCCGAAATAGTATAAGATTATGTCTCATTATGAGCAATATTACAAGCCTTACCTAAGCAATCCTTCCTAATTGAAAACGCATTTCAGAATTTCACCCAACATTCCACGAGATCGGTCACGACGCACTGTACGTAGTGCTTGTTACATGCGGCCTCTCCCATCCCTGCTCCCCTTGACTTGGTCATGACATCGAGTCCAGGTGGGGGGGGAGGAGAGAGTGCGGCAGATGCTGCGCAAGCCTACTATTACTATAAAATAATTCACGCACAAGTCACCGTCCCTGCTAGCACGCTACTGCGGAGCACACGGTGGACATCGTCAAAGCGCACGGTCGAATCGTCATACTTCATAAGGGGCATCAATAAACGGACATAGATAATTATGTTAGGGGGGAGGGCATATTCCACGGCCTTCGAAAATCTTTTAAGTACAAACCTTTTTGAGACTAATAGGCAAGTCTTCGTTAAGTTCAAAATCTGAAGGCGTGATTTTCTACCAAATGAACACAGTAAAGGATATTCTTGTGCAAGTTTTCCACAAAATATGCCTGAAGTTACAGGAGTATCGAAAATAAATGAAAAAATCCCAAAACAGAAGCTATCGTTTGTACAGTGCGGGCTTTACAGGCGATCAGAAAGGAGCGTATTCTATAGCTGGCATCCTAGATTATGCTGCACGATACATAGTATTACCATCCCACTGAAGTAACCCTTCCTACTCTAAAGTGTGTTTCAGAAGTTCTGTTAGCATTCCATGGGATAAATCACTTACTGTATGCTACTCAAGTAGCATTCTACTCGCCCAGGGCTAGCCCGGTAGCGAGCTAGTGTTGCGATTGGCTGGATTTTTTTCAGCAATCCTAGCGGACACTGTCCACATGGGGACAGTAGGTTGACGCGCCTTCTCGGGCGAGCTGAGGGTGTTGTAGCCGAGGTGATTCAAGTCGCCAGACAGGGGCCTAAATTCCGGACAAAGCGCGTGCGTACGCGCAAAGGGACTCCCCACGCGTGACGTGGAAAATGCACTCGGGTGAGCATCAAGGCGGGGGTGTAGCAGAAAAGCTACTCTCCTCGCACAGATCGAGCACTCTCAGCTAGTCAGGCTACTAGCTCTGCACTAGTCAAACGGGCTAGCAAATGTCTAGCCCTGGGCGACTATCAGGGTTGGTAGGCATCCAAAATCCAACCCTGAAAACTTCGTTAAAAACCCTCCAAAACTGCAACTAATTTTCTACGACGCACTCAACCACAGGCTTATGGTGATCAATTCTGACCCAACGCACCCACTCCATGCGGAACAGAACTGCCACTACTGCCACTGGGGTTTATCTGACCGCCGCTGCTGCACATCGGAAATGGATGTCTAGGGCGCGTGCTTCATGAGAGTTCGACCGTCGTTGCCGACGACGTCCACTGTGTGCTCCAAAGCAGGCTGACGGTAGGACGCGGATGGCGTAAACTCACACCTTTCACCACCACCCACCTCTCCAAAAGCGTCACGACTTGTCTACACTTGGTTAGTCTGTGATTGAAAGGATATTTGTTCAGACCAGGGCGGGGGGGGGCGGTATCTAGCACCTTGAAATTACTACGCGCGGAACTTCCGGCGCCTCACCCACAATAAAGGCCGTCCCCGCGTACAACTGTTTAAGCACCGTGAAACAGTGAGAAATTAACGGGTGTGCCAAGACGCACAGTCAGCACACGTACACAAACCACAGGCGCCCCCAGCTGGGTGGGGGTGTTGGCTAGCGTGTGCGTGGGTTAAGCATCCTTGCAGGGTGGAGATAGCAGACCACTGGTGTAAAGACCCCTAGTAAACAGTCTTAACTCCCTGAGAAGTCGGCGAAAACGAGCATCCGGACACACCCGGTGATTTGCTAATTGTTTGCCCCGGCAGTGAAAATTAGTTACCGGCGAAGCTGATCGTGATGAGAAGGGATTGCGTGGTTTCTGATGGACTCCAGTACAAGGACGGAGACCAGACGAATGATATGGGCTTGAAAGAAGCTGTCGATGGGAGGATATTCTGTACCTTGCCTAGACAACGCCCTGCTGGTTCAACCTCAAGAGCGTTAAATTGTTGCCGAGCGTAGTGACGGATTTTTCGAACAGGATTAAACAGGATCAAGAGGTTGGAGCCACTGTTATAAGCCAGCAATAGGAGTGGGTACGTGGTTGGGGCAACTGAACGCGCAACAGCTTCGTGGATTTCTAGATAAAGTTGATGGTGGATGCACATCCGTTTGCAATGTACATTTTTTGTTGTTGCTGTTCTGTCGGAGAAACTGTCCACTCCTATCTCAGATCCACCCGGAATGCGTGTTTTCGAACAAGACTGTTAAGTGAGTCGTGATTTGCTGTCATTTTTTCAATCCCGATGAATGTCTGAGAATGACCCCTTAAGACAAATCCTCTTGTGATGTATGAAGCCGTTTAGTGTGGCTGTCGTTTCCCACAACTTCGACTTCGACTGTGTAGCGGTCTAGGGTCGATCGCGAGACTGCAGTTTACAGCAACTGTAGGAAAATCGGTATTCAAACAATAAAACAGTTAACAGACACGCCTGTCAACAGCCGACCTACAAAAAGCTGCGATGACAAGTCGAGGGTGCGGCTGAGGATTTGAAACGTCAGAAAAATGCAATGTTGTATCCAGGAATCGCTTCCCCTCTCTCACTCTTTATAGATACATATCGGCAGAATGTTATTATTGACAAAGACTAGGGAGACTGGAATGGCTACTTCTGGATAATTAACCGCCGTCAGCCAGTCATACCTAGTCCCAAAGTGTGGAACACCTGTGGCTCGAACCCGTGACTTGTTAGTTAGAAGTCAAACGCCTCTAACCACTGAGCCACGGGCTCGATGTCCTGTCGGTTGTGATCGGGAATGTGCAATGGTAGAGGGGTACTCACCGATCGTTTTTACGGAACTCACTCGTTCCGTTGTGCCTCACGGGCTCTCTCGAAGCAAATCAGTAGCAGCACAGCGGCGCATGATATAGGCAGAATGTACATTACCAATCGCAACCAACAGGACATCGAGCCCGTGGCTCAGTGGTTAGAGGCGCTGGACTTCTAACTGACAGGTCGCGGGGTCGAGCCCCAGGTGTTCCACACTTCGGAGTTGGGTATGACTGGCTGACGACGACTAATAAGCCAGAACTGGCCATTCCAGTCTCCCTTGTCTTTGCCGATAGTAAAATTTTGCCTATATCATGCGCTGCTGTGCGGCTGTTGATTGAGCTCGAGAGAGAGCCCGTAAGGCACAACGGAACGAGCGAGTTCCGCAAAAAACGATTGGTGAACACCCGTCTACCATATATACATATATATGCACACCGTTTCTGATCTACATATATATGTACATATATATGTACACATTGAAGGCAGATATGTCCCTTTGGGAAAGTATAAAACTTTATTAAGTCAATTATCCACGCTTGTTCCCCAGGTCGTCGTCAGACTTGAGCAAATGAGCAAAAACAATTAACATTTCAAACGTGCTTAAAAATTGACACTTATTGGGTGTTTGCGTCAGTGAGTGGCCGCCGTGTTATTCTGTACTGATCGGTTCTCGTCTCTCCCATTTTTCCCGAGATTTTTGCACACGGCACCCAACTCAATGTAACGATTAATACATGACTTGTCGGAGTGCATGGCTACAAATCTTGAGGGGCAAACTCCGACGATGCGAGCTTTGTCCATAGCGAATTTGTGTCCGGTATCAAGGGTATGCATGACCATTTGAGACAGATGACATCGCCACATAATTACCAGCTGATGTTTGTGGATGTTTGTAGAGGCAGATTTTCCCGTTTGGACACAATACACGGCATCGCAGGCAGAATAACATTACCGACAACGACTAGGGAGACCGGAACGGCCGATCCTGGCCTGACAGTCATCATCAGCCAGTCGTACCTAATATCGAGGTGTGCGATTCCCAAGACTCGAACCCGTGACCTACTGGTTAGGCGTCCAACGCCCTAACCATTAAGCCACGGGCTCGCTGTCCTGTCGGTTACGTTCAGATGGAATGCTCACCGGTCGCGTTACAGGACACGCTCCTTAGGGCTCAATCTCGAGTTCTGCCAGCAGAGGCTCGGCCGCTAATATTTTGGCAAAGTGGCGTTACCGACAAAGACTAGGGAGACTGAAATGGCCAATTCTGGCCTGGTGGCCGAAGAAGAAAGGGCGATTTGATGGACTAGGTTGTACTCGTACTGACGTTTCGGAAACTCCCTCGTTTCTATCATCAAAGTCATTCGCCGGCTTTCCCTGCTGGTCTTGATTTGCTCAGCCTCGTCGCCTGTCTCGTATTATAACCATGCTCGACGCACGTACGTTGGCCGGCCTGTTGGTTGGTTCTAGCCTGTCAGATTTCGACCACTGGCGGACTTGCGTCCCCTTCACGGCTTCCCTATCGTCAGACGGCGGAATGGTCAATCATTGTTGCCCAGGCGTGGTGCTTTCGGCCTCGCGGGTACGCTGGTGAGACATTGTGCCACGCCGGTCACGTGACCTCCGGTCGGCGCTTCTCCGCGAGCGCCGGATGTCGGCCCCGCGTGACTTTCTTCACCCGCCCTATTAGCTCTGCCTGTACTGACTCGACCCTTGTGCAGAGCATCTGGTAGGCAGAATGTGAGTCTATAGCTGGATTAAGTGAGCCAGTCGAGGAAAAACTTTCCAGCATCAGTCTGGCCGTCTTATCATTGACTCGGCCGATAACCCTCGCTTTCTCAAAGGCGAAACTGTGGTTCTGCTGTTGTGTGGCCATAGACCAGCGACAGCTTATCCTTGCAGTTGATTGCGAGCTGGTTCTCGTGCAATCTCGTGTCGAGGCATTTGCCCGTTTCACCAACATATCTCGCATCACAATTTGGCATGGTATGTAGTCAGCCCAGACAGGACCAAAAAGACGGGTGAAAGAAATCACACGGAGCCGACTGCCAACGCTCGCGGAGAAAAGGGAACGCGCCGGGCGAAAGTCACGTGGCCGACAGGGCACACTATCTCACGGACGAGCCAGCGAGACTGAAAACACCATGCCTGAGTAGCAACGGTTGACCGGTCCACCGTCTGACGAGGGGGAGGTCGAGGAACACGGTGGCTTGGAGGCAACAACGACAGATGGACAGAGAACAAAATACGAGTTTTGTCCCAAGTGAATTTATGGCCAGTCTCCGGGGTATGCGTGGCAACTTGGAACAAGTGGTTTCATCTCTTCACGGTAAGTTGATGTTCGTGTATGCGTGCGGAGGCTGACTTACCAGTTTAATCACAGTGCATTGCGTTCCAGGTGTCACAAGAAATCTTGCAGGCGACCTCTTATCTAAATAGCGAACCCTATCCTTAGGGTGCACCAGTTGGTTTCGTTATGTGGTCATCAGTTTGTGCGCCACTTGTAATTGATGTTTCCTCAGGTGTCTTTCAACGAGCTCGGACACATGTTTAATGCCCAGAAGAGTTAACCTTGATCGGAAAAATTTACTCCTTAGTATATGTCTTTTGATTCCTGTTGTATAATGCATCGAGATGCAAAATCTCTAGAATACGCATCTTGGGAAAGAAGTTTGAACAAATAAATTACGTTCTATCTGTCTACTATTGCTGTCTGAGCAGTGTCTTTTGCTCGATTAAGTAGGCTGGTAATAGCACTCCGTTTGTGAGTAATATGATCAGTGCTCTTGTAATGAAGAACAACTTCCGCATAAGTTTCTTTGCAGCAAACTGATATGTGAAATGTCCTGTCGGTCTTTCGCTGTACGAGAATGTCAATGAAAGGGAGTTTATCGTCAAGCTCTTTTTCGAGCGTAAACGAGTTTCGTGGTAGTGTTAGGTTAGTAACACTGTAAAACATTTCTGGGTCATCCCTTGTCTTTGTCGGTAATGTTATTCTACTCATACTTCGTGCCGCTGCTGGTCGGATATTCATGACAGGCTCGAGAGTGAGCCCTAAGGCACAACGGCACGAGAAGGCTCCGTAACGTGATCGGTGCGCGTCCCTCCACCATATATGTGTACATGTATATCAGGGCGCGGGATGACGTCAGCGATATGTGTAGTTCGATATTGGAATTTTTCGGGCCTTCTCTCCTTTCATTCAGACAATCACAGCCCTACATACCACCTGAGACCGGAAGCAGAAACGCAGCGCAGATAGTCCACGGACGGGGTCTATCCGAGTGTTCCTAAACAGTTTTTTCGACCGAAGTTTATCAGTGCCTCACCAGCTGAACCGTCGGCAATCGTCCTCTTCTGTCTTGTAATTCTAACCGATCAGCGACCGTCCCCGGGCGCGTTTTTAATTTAGGGTCAGACATGGAGGACAAGGCTCTCATGCACACAAAGCAACCTACACATATGAGTCTGTTTGCTACGGTTATAGGGGGAGGGGGGGTGAAAAGTGCGGATCTAGATTGCACTATCAAATTAAAATGCTTACTCAGTCAACGGACGGTTTTTGACTCTAAAAAATACATCACGGAAGGACAGCCCCAGCCATGCAGTCAAACTAGCACAAGATAGTGCTCTGGTGAAAGCGGACGTTGGGGATGATGGCATTTTGGGGTTTCAGCATGACTGGACACTGCTCCAGTTCGAATACTTTTCCTTCAGTTTTTCACAGCAAGAACTAGGTAAGCTAGGCAGTAAAGTGGGCCGAGGGGTATTGTTTCTCAAGCTATTACCCCTATAAAGACCCGTTCCATTTCTCCAGACGGAGGTCTGGCAATGTGTAGTAATGTTCAGACTGCGGTTCAAGCCGTCACGCTCCCAGTATTATAAATATTTCCAGACATTAAAAGGATGGAAATCAATCGGGTAAGGTCGAGGTCATAACTTTCACGATCTGGACGGCGGACTGCGTGCGCAAACTAAGAAAATCTTCGATGCTGCGTCCAGCACAGAAAAATAACCAGCAAATATTTACTTGAATTACCTCGCCTCAGAGGATGACCATCGAAGTTTCCCGACTTCCAGCGTCGGCAGCTCTGTCTGGCCTCTAGAAAATCCTTGAAGTTGAACCGATTGCTGAATTGTTGCAACACAGTCCTCATTGCCGTCAGTGAGGACAACAAGTTCGAGGCCAGAGAATGGGTCGTCTGATTGGGGGAAATTACTTCGGCGTCTGGCAATAGCAAGGCCAGCAGCAGCTGTCATGCCGGCTCCGAGTTCGCAAACGCGTTGCCAAGTACGCCGGCTAGTGGCGGTAGCAATGGCATCCCATAGACGGGCATACACAGCTACCGGATTGAGAAATATGTGCGCCATGAGCAGTTCGGAGGGCCAGAGGCAGACAAGACCTGTGCTGTCGAAACCAACCAAACGGCGCAGGCGTTCAGAAAGGCAGTTTTGGTCGCCGTTCTCCCCAACTGTGAATGTAGGAGCCGGCAGAATGAGAAGGGGAGGCGCGGGCGAAAAAGTTCCATTTTCGGACAGTTCGACGAAACGCAATTCCAGGCACTGCCGTCTACAATCATCATTGAGCTAAAGAAGGGCATCGAACAAGTGAGACTGTCAGACGGCGGGTATTTGCTCATCCTCTATGTGGTAAGTTTCACACTAACATGGTATGGAGAGAACCAATAGACAACCATCTAGCATTCCGCTTATTATCCAAAACAAGCCAAGGAGAACCTTATAAAAACGGAGGAAGTAGACTTCGGTTTTTTATCTTCCCGTAATTCACGACTTAAATTTTCCCAAGGCTGTATGGCTACCAAATGCCTAACTAGAAAAGTAAGGCCTAAGGTACGGTGGTGGCCATGATGGACACAATACATAATGGAAGATTTGTGAGCGAGTAATAAAAGGCCCTTGATCAAGTAATCCGCACAAAATGTTTACGGTAAATTATCTACACGGCTTTTCTCGGGTGAAGGATGAAAAATTGTACAAGTGTGGATAGGTCGATTCAAAATTGCGCGAGCATAGTTCCCACAGGCCCATTGAAGTTCGGTACTTCAGTAACGCCGAAGCATGAAAAACTTCTCATGACCAGAAAAGGTCATTATAAGAATTGCCTATTAGGCAAAATTAGCAAAGAAACTCAGCAGAACATGTCGGAAGATTGAGGTTCCCCAGAACTTTAAAAGATCTCGGTCTCAAGCACAGTTTTCATTATATTAAATATGAAGCCTTCTTTCGCAGACCACTGTCACCCAGTTAGTCGACTTGCCTGATGGCATTCAACTCACCCAGGACTAGACCGGTCGCGCGTTAGTGATGCGATTGACTGGATTTTTTCGGCAATCCTAACGGACACTGTCCACACGGGGCAGTAGGGCGACACGCTTTCTAGGGCGAGTTGAGGGCGTTATAGTCCCAGGCGATTTAAGTCGCCATACAGGAGCCTAAATTCCGGGCAAAGTGCGTGCGTACGCACAAAGGGACCCCCCAGGCGTGACGTGGAAAATGCACTCGGGTGAGCATCAAGGCGGGGGTGTAGCAGAAAAGCTACTCTCCTCGCACAGATCGAGCACTCTCAGCCAGTTAGGTTATTAGCTCTGCACTAGCCCACAACCCAAACGGGCTAGCCCTGGACGACTAAGTGCTATCAGGGTAACGGCGAATGAGGGGAGAAAGCCAATAGGCATAAGGGTACACGGACACTACCTGTGCGGACGTGCCTGATCAGTATTCCAACATGTAAAGATGCAAATGGTACCTACTGACGCACTTCGGCGCCACATTCTGACGTGCTATCTGTTTGGCACCCTAAATGAGGAGCTGGTTTTCAGGGAGATTAGGTCAAACACGCAAACCCGATCTAAGTACAACGGCAAGTTTATGAGGTGTTTTCCTGCCAAAAAGTACGCGGTTTTAGGTTCGACTCACGTTAGCCATCATTGGCCTAAAAACGGTATATCCGAGCCTGTTTGGGCCTAGATGCTGCTAGTTAGGAATCCAAATTTGGTAAGTCGGAGATCTGGCCAGCACTAGCAAGTCAGTAGGACCATTTGCATTAGACAGTGGAGAATAAATGCAAATGATGTGGAGTTCGTCAGCCAGTGGAGGCCAGTGAAAGCACAACTCCGCAAACGATTTGGAGCCATCTTTGTAACTTTCTCGAGTGATAATGATTCGCAGACTCTCTGGAAACACTATTTATTTGTTCAGACCAACGATGCGAATAAACGTCCTACATCAATAGGGCGACATTCGGAAGTACGAGTATTCTAAAAGTTCATACAGTGCATTTCGCCTAACCCTCTTATCTTTCGAAGAGGTCGTTTATGATAAAAAAGGGATTAACACAAAAATGACGACAGATCTAAAATAAAGGATAGGTGTTTACTGAAACTTTGTCCCCGGTGAACTTATCTTTACCTTTGACGAAACGCATTTTATAACGAAAAGCCGGTAAACATCGGTCGACGGTAATCCAGCTGATTGCGAACTATTTCCCTTGATGTAATTTGCTAGAAGCCTCCATCGCCCGGCAGAAGTAGTGTCTTTAGAGCCCCAGGGAGCATTCATTCTTAGATCTAACAGAGGACGTAATAATCGATCGAGAAGACGACAGGACAAAAAAGGGGGAAGAAGCGGCGTAGTATTTATTAACTAATGTACAAGTTAAAGGACTGCTTATCCGCTGTGGAAAGAGCTGCATTTTTAAATCAAGAATCCAGGACAGCGACGGCGTCAAGCTCTACAAGAGCGTTCTAAGCGCAGTCAGTAAGTATGAACAAGACTTACTTTTGGAAGAGTCTTAACCGCAAAACACATCCTTGCAGGATATGGTTCGGAGAAATCTAAAAACCGGATTCGTTCACAGCTTAAACGTACATTTTGCATAAATCTCGTTGACCTTGGGAAAGTCGTCCATGGAGGCCAACAGTACGGTCGTCTTTACGACGTGCTTGCTATCGCCACCAGCTTCCTTGATTATGTTCATGAGATTTTTTAGAGCTTGTTCAGCTTGTTGTTCAACGGTATCTCCAGCAAGGTTCATTGTTTCAGGATTCAACCCGAGTTGACCTGATATGTACACCGTCTTGTCGACACGTATGGCCTGACTACAAATATTAGCAAAGTTTCAAAAAACCTGTAAGGTCCAATAGCCTTAGGTGCGAGTGCAGAACAGATTACTTGGCGCACAGCATTCATGGTCGACTGCGGAGACCGGTAAAGCCCTCTGAGAAAGGTGAGACATCCTAACCTTTTTGAGCATACTGCAAACCGTTAGTGCACATAAACAAAATTCCAGATTAAGGAAATGATCCTCTGGAAGTCTGAAACGACCGAATATGATGGTGATTTCCCATCAAAATCTGCACGGGTGTGAAACCAAACCTAAACATTTTAGTAAGCAACATGCACACGTTTGCGGACTAGAAATCCGCAACGGCTAAAAAATTTACGACAGGAGCGTTAGTGCCAAAACTGCAGGATCCGCTGGAAACTTTTGACCGGAAAGCGCTTGCATTGACAAAACGTGCAAAACTGACGGAAGACTGCAGGTTTATAACGCTCTAGCCTGCATGGCTTCCTCGGAGGACTATCGTGTCTTATGATTGTGTCAGCCTTATCAATGGTTACTTGGGGGTCATTGCTGGACCGGTTGCGCTTTCTAATCCATGTGAATGATCTCCCGAGATGAGGCCAACCAGTTGCGTTATGGTCAAAGATGCCAATGAGATTTTACTTTATGAACAGAACCGCACTTTAGTCTGAGTACACAGCCAAACTCTGCATCGTTGCCGGATGCTTCACTAAATGGCAAGGACAAAACTTGTGCCGGATTTGAAGAACCAAGGCAGAAGGGGTCAAATAAACTTAAGAATTTTTCACGAAAACTGACCTCCAACTTGCAGCGAAGTTCATTCTTCACGACTGACATTCGGACAGAATCCGATGTTGGTGATACACCAGCCCCTGACAGACAAACTAACGAAGTCCAAAAACGGTTCGCCGTTAACTGTATGAAGTGGCTTTGGTACTGACGCGAACAACGTAGCTGGCTAGAATGTTATTATTTCTAATGTCGAGGTTCCACCAGAAAACTAGACTCTCAAAGCACCAATCAGACATATTTACCGAAAACGAGATATCGTCGCATACGGTGCTTCCGTGTACACTTCCTCGACTGATAAGGAGACGGTCAAGCACGACCTCAACCTTTTTCAAGCACATTCAAATGCCGTCCTTCGGGATGGTTAACATGTGATGGTGCACGAAGCTTTCTCCCTAGGAAACGCAGATGCATCGCGTGGGATTTCATCACTAGGGCCTCTTAAAATCCTTTTTGAAAATGAAATCTAGGCTCCACACCCCTAGAAGGATGAACGGTTCTTTGTAGTGCACACAGAAGGATGTTTTTAGCCGAACTGCAGACCGACGGAAAGACATAACACGAGGGAACTCTAAACATGGCTGAATAGGAACGCGGAAGAGGGGCAAAGCGGCCAAAAATAAGGGAAGAGGAGACAATACAATCAAACAATCGTTCCTGGGTTGGTCCCCACCGAAAAGACAGTCAATAAAGGTGCTATATTCAAATGTATGGAGTCTTTCTAATAAAGTAAATTGACTCGGGCCTTTGGTCTACGACCATGCATCAGATACCATCGTCTTGAGAGGAACCTGGAGTCGGTGTCTATTTCAGCTGCAGTTTAACCGCGGTCCCCGAGCTACATCGTACGGCATGTGAGGTGGAATTTTCACCTTTATCTCTACTAAGTACTCTCGGTTACTGACATTTACATTTTCCCGCCGTCCCCCAAACCAGATTTCAGAAGGCGATGGCCTTCTCCTAACGGAACTCAACAAGACTTGCTTGAACAAAGATGTCCTTGTTGCTGGGGTCTTTAACGCAGCCAATATCGAAAGGAAAGATTGGACAGTTTTGGATCCACGGGACACACGCGGTCATCATTTACTTCAAATGGCAGCCGAAAACTTGCTTCCCAGAATGCAACCCTTGGAACACAAATTAGGGAAAGGTAACATTCAAATACTTAGATCTGGTTCACACTCGAGATATGGAGAGTGGGCTGGACCTACAAGGTCTCCCGCCGGCGGGTACTTATGATTATACTGCAATTCTCTTCGAGTATTCCACATTTTTCCTGCCTGACTTAACTAAACAATTCAAAAAAACATCATGAAGGGAGGTCTTTTTAATATGTGAACACAAGTCTCAGCAATATAGTGTCCAACCGCATGGCATAGAAAAGCTGACGAATACTTGAGCCCTTTGAGTTCATTGATTAGAAGAATCGAGGATCCAAATCGCCCACTCAGAACAAAGCAAACGGACAGCCGTGACCGTGGATAAACGGAGATTTTAAATCTCCCTTAAGGTAATAAATAAGATGTAGAAATGTTTTGACCAAAACGAATTATCGAACGCTTACATTAATACAAACTGCAGCGGGATGTGCATGAACGTGAGCAAATATGAGCCAAGCATACTACAGAACTCCTTGTGGCATCCAAAAATCCGATATGTATATGTACGTAATAAAAAACAAGGTATAATGTCTGTGTCACAACATTCCGATTCATGACTTTAACCATCAATGTGTGTTTTTTAACCTCTTTAGTGAAAGCAGACAGTGGTTTGCGATGAGCCTGTGCAGTACTTCTCGGAACTGTTGTTGCTCTTCGAGTACATCATCAGCAAATACGGATTCCCACTCAGTGCATGTATTTTCAGCCCTCATTTCGTCGAAATTCCCACGCCAAATGTTTCTCGCAACTTTCATGGGTCATCCAGCTGTGAAAAAGTGCGA